ATATTGCTTAATCTTAATTTTTATTCTAAGATTTATACTATATCTTTGACTTACAATTTATTTAAAAGACATCATATGATATATTCTAGTATTAAAAACTTTAAAAAGTTAAAAAAATGAATAGCACAGGACTCTGATCTAGACAATTCTGGTGAGAGTAACAAATGAAAATGTATAGGATATATTATGGAGATGCAGACAAAAATCAGGATATAGACAAGACGGAGTGGTGATTCGGCACCCCTACTCTACAAAAATATTAAACCACAGATACAAAAGTTACATTTTTTTTTGTTATAAAGACAGGTCTTACTTTATCTTAATCTTAACCATCCAGCAGAAAAGTATAAACTCAAGATATAAATAGTAAAGCCATATTAATATGCTGAGTTGTAAAAGGTTTAAGTCAGTAACTTCTGACATTGCCAGTCCTACAGATAACCCACTACTATTATGGTCTACTGGACTATATTGTATTATTTTGCTGAATTCATGCATCTACAATATTTGAATGGCAATGGAATACCCATCTTTGACAAAACCAAGCAAAAAAGGGAGTTATAAGTAAAGGACCATTTTGGAGCGAAATATGTGTGTGTGTGTGTGTGTGTGTGTGTGTGTGTGTATCTGTATATACAAAGTAGTTAGGAGACATGTACAGCTACTTTCTCTTAGTTCAATGAGAAGATTTGTACTAATAGTGTTTAGACGAGATATCATGTCTGCATATTGTACAATAACTACTACGAAGACAACAATATGCAACACATTAATTATTATAACTGTCCTACTAAACAGTTTTGAAACTAGAATTTATCAATACTATTGATAAATAACATTTATTGACAAATTCTATTTATCAATAAAATTAATTTTTAAAAGAACAATTAATATCGTATAGTCTCCCTAGTATAAGAACTCAAAAGACAAAATAAAAATAGAAAGGTATAACACAATTAAAAGGAAAGTGAGAACTTGAGGATTCGACAACAAAGAGAGGGCAAGGACAAAAGCTAGGAAACATGACAGGGGCAAAGCCATACAGTTATATGTACAAGATGGGCAAAGCAATGATCCGAGAATCTTCATCAGGTTTTTGAAACTAGCAGTTAATTGGTAGGATTCTCACCCTGACTAACTATATATGCTGATATCTGTGAACTAAGCAACTACACTGAAGATAGCAATGTATAATACTAGGGTCATGCTTGGAATGCCTGTTATTCTGGTCTTCTAAATATGTACTGCTTGTCATGACATACCAATTACTGCCATACTGTCTCTCAGGTAAATGTTTGTTTAAAAAAAAGGGGGAAGTAATAAATGAAAACGAGACAAGAGAAAAAAATGTCACAGGACTGTCCTGCTACAATGCTGCATATGGTTAGATTTCTAAATTTCTGTGTAAAAATATGTAATTGGTTATTCCTATTTTTAAAATACATTTTATTTTTTAATTTTAATATTTTTTCTTTATATCCTGTAGGGACTCAAAGTTTAACATACCAACACTTGATGGAAAATACCTGTTCCATGTTATATCTATGATGTTTGATATTCAGACAGATAGTGAGGTTAAGCTCAACTGCCTATGTTATAAGGTAATAATATCACTAAGCTTCTCTTCTAGAGGGTTAACAACTCAAGTTTACAGATCCAAAACTAGAGAAAAAGGACAGCAAAGACAGCCGACATTTTGGCCCTAGCTTTTCAAGGTCAGTGAAGACTCAGGACATAGGAGAATCTGTACTGTAGCATCATGTAACTCATTGGGCCCCAAATTTTCTGATCAAGGAGATTATGGGGCCACAGAGGAAAGTGATCAATGATGCAGAGTGTGCCTAAGGAGAGTCACATGGAGAGAAAACATTCTCTCAGGCTTTCACAGAGAGGAAACTGGTCAAGCAATAGCCATGACTCATCCACATGGCTGACACTCACAAACGATCTGCAAACTGAGGTACAGGGTCTCAGGATAAGTCCTGAGGGGACATGACTGACCTTATCAGATACAAAAGTTACATTTCTTGTTATATAGGTCTTGCTTTATCTTGATCTTAACCATCCAGCAGAAAGGTATAAAAATGAAGTATAAAGGGTGAAGCCATGTTGATATGCTGGGCTGTAAAGGGCTCAGGTCAACAACTTCTGACACTGCCAGTCCAACAGATGACCCACTACTATTATGGACTACTGGAGTATATTGGAATATCTTGTTGAATTCATGCATCTACAATATTTAAATCACAATGGAATACCCTTCTCTGACAAAACTAAACAAAAAAATGGATACAAATGAATGACAATTTTGTATTTGTATATTGAAAATAGTATAGATATCCAGTTACTTTCTCTTTATTCAGTGAACAGAAAGATTTGTTCTAATAGTGTTTGTGGACAAGTTATCATGTCTCCATCTTCTATAATGAATAACCACTAAGACAACAATATGCAATATATTAATTATTGAAACTACTAGTAATCGGTTTTGAAACTGTTTCATTGCTATTTGTTTCTCAATAAAATTATTTTAAAAATAAAAAACAATTTAAAAAATTAAACATTTTTGGCTAAACATTTGTAAGTCAGACACTTGTTTACCAAATCCTTCAGAAGTTGTTTCTGCCAAAATCTGACATTAGCTGCCTTAAGGAAGGAGACTAACACATCACAAGGTGACTATGGCAGAGAATATTTAAGGATTTCAATCCAACTTGGATAAAATCCTGAGTGGCTGAGTTAAACTGAGGTCAATCCCTGTCCTTTCCAGCTATCACAGAGTTCAACTGTTCCCCTGCAGCCTCTGTCAGCTGCACAGATTTAAAATGCTAGCATCTACAGGACCTGGTCAGGCCATGTATGTGTTTCCACATTACTTGAACTATAAGTCTTCCATGATACATATAACTGATGGTTGCATTAGAAAACCTACAGATCAAATATCTCAATCATCTAATTACCCAAAGAGAAAAAACTTTCATGGATTGTTCTTTGACACCTATAGGAGAAAACTTTGATATACCCATCAAGGCCCTGATAGACTTGTTTGAATGTAGCAGCCAGAGGTGAGAACAAAAGTAGTTCTGATAAAGAAATGCTAGAAGCCTTAAGCTTCCATTTAACAGCATCAAAAGCTGCATGAGTGTGAGGTTGGAAAACCCATTTATTAGTCATGTGTATACCTCCTATTAGTTGAGGACACCTTTGAAACCTAGTTAGGATGCAGAACAGAAGAAAGAAGGATTTACTATTAGTTCTACCAGCAAAAAGAATTTAATCTCACAGCGAACAGATTTTCTTGAAATGATTAATTCTGTCTTTGAATTATAACTGGTCAAGATTTAAGTAGTAACATTTGCTCATCAATTTAAATTAGAAAGATTCCTTAAATGGAAGTTACTTGCTACATTTCCATTCTTATTCATAGACTTTCCAAAGGTTTTGACTTTCCAAGAAGAACCTTTTTTACTCAGTTTGTATATTTACATGAATTTACCCAATAAAGATACCCATAATTGTTCTATTTGGGGAGATGAGAGAAAACTGTTTGTGTTTAATTAAAAACCAAATCAAATATACTCCTTAAAACTAACCTTCTCAGGCACTTAGTTATTACTTAATAAAAAATCTTGGGGCTGGGGATATAGCTCAGTAGTGTAAGCACCTGTCTGGCAAGCACAAGGTCTGGAGTTTGATCCCTGGTACGAAAATAAAAGAAATAAAATTTATTTCCCAGCCAGGCTATTGGGCAGGACCTCCCAGTGTGATGGAAATGCAGTCATGACCAGGAAGCATTTCTGGCAGCAAAGGACCATCAGACTCAGGGACCTTGGGAGGCTCTGTGTCTTCACTGCTTCTTAAAGGAGCCTTAGTTAGGAAATAATAATTAATACTATTTCTTCCAAAAAACAAGAATCACCTTCATATTTTTAAAAATGCACCCAAGAGTTCACCAAACCTTACTTCTGGCAGCGGGCTGGCTGGCTTGGTCAAGATCCCTCCGACATAAACAACGTTGGGCAGAGTAGGTCTTGGAAACTCCAGAGCCACATCGGTGCACAGCATCCATAGGCTGGAGCCGTGGACCAGGTCGTACATGGACTTCTCCGGCACCAGGTTGTGCTTCTGCATTATCCTTTCATATTTGGGAAGAACCAGAAAGCTAACTCCTATTCTGGAAATGAGGTAAACGCCGGTATTTTTCATCCTTTGCAGCAAGTTCATGCGGTCTGTGAGAAGTGAGTTAAACTCTGGGACATAGGCTAAAGGGGCAGGAGCACCCACCTCTGCAGGATACCAAAGGCCAGTTGAAAATACAGCATATTTAACCCCTAAGAGATGAGCTATCACAAATCCACACATGTCATTAGGGTCCACCAGCAGCAGGTCAAACTTCTCTTTTTTCAGATTCTGGACTAGGGCTTGGTTGCCAACAATCATGTCACAGTTCTTAGTGTAATGATCCAGTATGTCAAACAGTTCAATTGCTGTCAATCTTCCAGAGAAAATATTCCGCATTTTGGACTGCATGAAAACATCCGAGGTGGTGCTGTTGAAGATCCCTGGGTAGCGCTGGAGGCTGTAGTGATGAGATGGGGCAATGTCTCTGCCTTCTGAGAAGAGGAACACCGTGTGGTGGCCTCTCTCATGCAACGCTGTGGCCAGTGTCTTGAAAATGTACATATGGCTTTCGAACATAATTGGCGGCACGATGATGATTTTGGCAGCCCTGGCTATCCCAACAGCACTCCACAGGAGCATGAAATACAGCGTGTAAGACTTCATAGCTGTAATGACAACCAGAAAGCAACTTAAAACATAATGCAACAATGACCATTCAAAATAACCCCACGCCTTTACTATGAAAAATACCCAATGATCCAATACTTTGAGAAATTATCCTAACATCTTCTAATTAAACCTTTATTTTTGAAAGTTAAACTACAGAATAAGAAGTAAAATCAATATATAATGAAATCCATTAAAAATGAATTGGTATGGGAGCACATAATTGCACTGATTTTAAGATGTGTAATAAAATTTCCATAATATTGAATGATACATCATATTTATTCTTCCAATAGTATCTGTGAAAAAGTATAAAGCATTTCATCTCTTAAATGAACATCAACATTAGTTCCAAGAAGACATAAGCTTTTGGATTTTCAGTTATATCAGTGTACATACCTCTTAAATCATTTTATTTCCTCAATTACATTCCCATACATCATCAAAGCATATTAAAAGGAATATGCTTTAGTAGATAATTCATTTATGTAGTAGTTTAGTAATTCCATAGAAAATACTATTTCCCTCATAAGAAACTTGACCATTAGTGTGTATTTCCCCTTTACTAAATAAATACCACAAGTATTCTGGCAGGCTATATTTATGCAATTTATACTAATTTGTTGATGACTCTCAGGACATTATTTAAGATAAATGTTTAATAGATAAGTTTAAGAAGAAATGCCTATTGAAGAAAGGATTGATGAATGAGTGTGTCCCAGACTACATAACCTATGTTGGACCTTTACCTCTGGTGCCAATGCCAAGTCAGATGGCGCCTATAAACTGAATAGCTAATATCTCTACTATCTTTCATGTTTCATACTACATATAAAGTAGCCCTCCATGGTACACTCAAAAAGAAGCACGCTAAGTATAGGGGCCAGAGTGTAACACCCCCAACCTCCTCAGCATAATTAATACTTGAGCTCCAAATTAAACCACAAATAGCAAACAGAGAAAAGACTTATACAGTTGCATGAATAAACATGAGGCATTTTCACTGCAATGCCAACTAGATTTATACATACATCACCTACAAGACATATTTTACTCATACAATGTATTAATATTTGTTCTAATTCCCACCTCGAAATGGTGGAAACTACATATTCTCAACATTCAAATGCTATAAATAGCTAAAACCAAAAAACTAACAACAGACAAATGATGGATTCTTCCAATATCAAGATTAAAATACATTATATTTCCAGATGTTTTTAACCCTCTTCTGCTTGCAGAAGTAAAATGCACACTATAATCATATAAAGTTAAATATTATTTGACTTGTTATAAGAGCTTTAAGATTCAAAAAATTTGGAGAAGGTATTCTTTCTAAAAGAATGAGAATTAAAGAGCTGATCTTGGACTATAAACTATCCAGGCATTCCAAATACTAACTCACCAATGTATCTCTCTGATGTAGCCTTCTTACAGTCCTGAAGAATTAAAAATCAGAGATTTTACATGAATATGTTATGAATTCCAGGGATGAGATTTATGCAAAATAAGCATTTCAGCAGCAACTCTCTTTCACTGCCTTCTTCCAAGAATATATAACGAATGTTGGACCACGGGTAGGAAACTACTGTCCTTCTAGGTTACATATCGAGCCATGTGGGGCTCTCTAGCCACAGTTAAAACACTTAATGAAAAATAGTTAGAAAAAAATATAAGTTAGTAGTATGGAAAGAAATCCTTTCATTGTTTCTTATTTTCCTTTTTAATCTCTTTCAGTAACTGCCACAAAGTAAAAAACAATCACAAAAATGTTTCTGTTTATAGTAAACAAGTGTTGATGTCTAGAATAGCACTGTCCACTAAAACTTTCTGTGATAAAGAAAACATTACACTTCCTTGCTGTCTAAATGGTATCCGCTATACAAGTGTGAATACTGAGAAGTGAAATATGGCTAATATGATTGAAGAATTGAAAGGTAAATTTTATTAAATTTAGTTATATGTGGCTAGTGACTACCATATTAAAATAAAGTTCAAAAAGTACATAGATTCTGGGCAGAGATTCCAAAAATCATTCAGAAATACCAATATTCTTGTGGCATAAAGCCTTCTAAAAATGTCACTTATCATTAGCTAAATTAGGTACAAACATTATAGCAGTCAGACAGGGCTAAGCCCTGGAAGGAGTTGATGCAGAAAATGAAAATATACTATAACTGTGGCTGAAGGCATGTCCACTGAAGGTCAGTCCTCAAGATAAAGACAGAATCGCCAGGTCTGCATGTCTCCAAAAAGGGATAAGTAATGACTGTAATTGTTACTACATGATCCAACACATTCTAGATAGACATCAGTCACCTAGACCTTCAGGACCTCCTGACTCATTTCTTCCAAAAAAAAGTTCTTGTTTCCTTTCCATGTCCATTTGCTATGTAACCTGCTTCCTTCTGGATCAACATTACCTCAGAAGCTATACTTGTAATTTTATTCGTTGATCACAGTTGTCCCACATTGTACCCATCTCGTGATTTTTGTACCTACCTTATGATTTGCTCAATAAAACTCCCTTTTGGGAGGTGGGCATTGGCAACCCACTTGGGCCCTTGCTATCTCTTAGGAGCTGTCTCTCCCTAAATAAAATTTCCTAATCTTAACTTCTGTTGTTCCTCAGAATTCATTCCTCAATTTTAGAGAATACAACTTTAGCATACTGGACATCCAGAAGGCTGGGAGTTACAATATTTCCCGTCTAGCATTTGGAGGTCCTATATCAAAAGGTCTTCATCATATTGATCACCAACAAAACAGAATCTTTCACTGGCTCTTACTCTTTTATTCAAATACAATTTTGATTTTGAAAGATTATAAACATCAGAAGCATCATTATTATAAACATCATAAAGATGATCTTGGTAAATTAAAAAATGACATAGTAGATTCTTGCTAGTTTACAATGTATGTCTATTAGAAAAATGTTAGAAAAATGCTCTTAGGATATACCTTATTACACCATACCTTACTTTTAATTGTATATTTCCTGCAGTGCTGGGATTGAAACCAGGGGTTCATACATGCTAGGCAAGTGTTCTATCAAGCTACAGCTATACACAAAGCCCTTCTTAGTTTTATTACAGTCTTGTAAATTGCCTGAGCTTAGTTGCACTTAAGATCTCCTCCTTCAGCCTCAGGACTGAGTAGGGGGCATGACAGGCATGGACCACTGTGTGTGGCTTACAACTGTGGCTTAATGTTGCCTTTAAACCTAAGTTGGAGATTATTTACAAAACAGGATTGTAGAGATACAGATTTGAGACAAAAGCCTGATGTCCCAAGAGGGCAGGGAACCCTGGACTGAGCCTGAGGAGGGTTGCTGTCTGTTTGCAAATTCCCGGAAAATCAAGAATAACATTTTTATATATAAGGTTAAAAAACAGGTTTTCCTGTAATTATAATAGGACAAGATTTGAGAGAGTTTCGATAGCTGTATCAACCAAACAATCAACAAAAGCATGACTACACCTATTAATGGTTTTCTAGTGCTTGGGACAGCATAAAAGTTTCCTTTTGAGATCTATTATTTAACATCATTCTCAGTGTTTAAGCACGTAACAGAAAATAAATGAGGCATATAAACATTAAAGAGAAGGAAACCAACGTAAGATGTACTGAGATTAACAGGATTTTCTTCAAAGAAAACAGACTAGTCCAGAAGAAACAGGACAGCAGCATTAACATGGGAAAACAAAAGAAAGCAAGAAAGTAGGGACCATGAAGCGAACGCTTAGTCTCAGAGATGAGAGACTCAAAGAAAATGATAGATTAAAACCTAATAAGAAAGAAAAGAAAGATCCCAGTGCTCTAAAGGAAAGAGAAGTCCCCCAACATCCTTCCTGCTTATTCTTTCAGTATAATACACAGTTAGGCCCACCTTATCATATTGTTTGATACCAACTTTATCAACTTTTCCATCAAAGTCAAACTGGACTTGGTATAACTGATGATGGACTGTCTGTATGCCAAGTGTATCCCGTGTATAACTGATTGTGTAATGGTGGAAATTGAGAAATTAGGACAGAAGTATTGAGTGGTTCTAAGGATTGTCCAGGATCCATGGTTTGAATGAATACCTTGTACACATAATGGGACCTACGCAGACAACTGCTTAGTGCACACAGTAACTTAGTACAAGTGTTACATTGTGGCCATGATTGACCAGGACCTTAAACAGAGAATCCGGAAGATCCCTGGAGTTGCTATCATGTACATTTCTAATCACAGACACAACATTGATTGGATGCCAAATGATTATGGAGCCCCTCGGTTCTGATTCTTACACGACAAAGTTTCTCTGCCTTCTTTCGACCAACATTTTGTTTTCCATTCATACAGGATGCTATATCATGAATTATTCACCCATTTACTGTATTATCAGCTGAATATTATCAAGACCAGCCTGGGGGCTACAAAAGAGAGCACAAGGCTGGCCTGAGCTGCATAGAAAGACCCTGTCTCAAAAAAAAAATGTTAAATTCTGAATCTAAAACTGCTCTAAAATATAAAGTTCACTTATTTTTTAAAATGCATTATGTAAGCATTCCATAGCATTTATCTTGGTTTAATAATTATATAAACATAAAATGATAATCACATCAGAAAATAATCTTGGAATCAGGTGTGACGACACACCCTATAATTCCAGCACTTGGGATGTTGAGATAGGAGGACTGCTGTGAGTTCAAGACCAGCCTGGGGGCTACAAAAGAGAGAACAAGGCTGGCCTGAACTGCATAGCAAGACCCTGTCTCAAAAAAAAATGATCTTGTATTGTTTGTCACATAATTATATTGTTATTATGTTAGCCCATAATATTATTTATATATAAAGTAATCTGAACAAATTTTAATGAAAAGAAAATTATGTCAAATATATTAAAATACCATACATGAACTGGGCTGTTTAGAAAAATAAAATGGATGATTTAGCCTAAAGCAGGTTATAGACCGTACCTAGCTGAATGGCAGAGGTTCTCTGCAGAATT